CTCCCAAGTATTGTTGTTGTTGTTGTTGTTGTTGTTTGCTGTCGAGTCAGCCCCGACTCATAGCGACCCCTCCTTGGGTTTCCGAGGCAGTATCACTACGGAAGTAGGATTGCCCAACCTTCCTTCCGAGGAGTGCTATACCACTGTATTAAAATATTAATTTCCTTTGCTAAGTGGATAAATTCCTATCAGCACTGTAAAGGAGAATATTTTTCTTATCAGAAGTTAGGATTGACAGTTCTAAATGTATATAATAAGTAAAAAAGAGAAAAAACAAATCAAAAGCACAGAATAACATCAATTCAAGTGTCCCATAATGAGAAGAATGAAAAGTTAATATAAGTTATTGGTAGTTAAATACTTGGTATCAAAAATACAAGAAGGAGCATTTGGTTGAGAGAAATGAAATCAAAGCTGATAGACAAGGCACATGCTCTTATCAGAAAAATGTACCAATATGAAACTACTGTTTAGTCTGTAGCCAGACTCTAAAGCTGTAGTAGAAAGGTTGGAAAAGTAACTTGTTCTCATAGCAGAAGGCCATGAAAGCTGGGTAGTAAGTGTTGATATATTCTGTTGGCAAGGTAGAAATTTTGGAGGCTCTAAAGCAAAACAGCACTTCCTATTAAGATTTGTTCAGCACCTATGAAGAAAAATCATACAGATTTTCTTAATGAAATTTAGCCATCTTTAGTCGGAAGGAAGGTTGGGCTATCTACCTCCGTAGTGATACAACTTCGGAAACCCAAGGAGAGGTCTCTATGAGTCGGTCCAACTCGACACGCATAAAAACAACAACAGTCTAAGAGGGAGCTCTGGTGGCCCAGTGCCTAAGGCATTTGACTGCTAACCAGAAGGCTGGTAGTTCAAACCTACCATCCATGCCTCAGAAGGAAGATTATGCAATTTACTTCTGTAGTGATACAACTTTGGAAACCCGAGGAGGGGTCACTGTGAGTCAGATCCGACTCCATGGCAGTGCACTGCATTTTGCATTTAGTCTAATAGAACTTTGAACTCTTCCATAAGGAAGTGCCTATCTTCATCAATATGCCAGAGTCTTACTGAAGACCCCAGTCTTTCTGTTTCATGCACTTACATACTCAGCAAAAAGGATTCTCATGGATTTCTCGTAAATCACAAACCAAAGGTATTGCTATCAAGCCAGTTCCAGCACATGGTGAGCAAATGTGCAACAGAGCAGAGCTATCTCACAGAGCTTTTTGGTTGTAATCTTCATGGAACGGTTCGTCAGGTCTTCCTTCCATGGTGCACCTGGGTGGGTTTAAACTGTGAATCTGTAGATTACTAGACAAGCACAAACCATGGACACCACCCAGGTACCTGGATTCACTGTTGCCCCAACAAAATAAAGACTCATCCTGCAGTCATTCCAAATATGAATCATAGGTGGCTTCAGAGTTGGCACTTCTTTTCTTAAAGAAGCATAAGAAGTGCTCACTCTCCACTCATCTCTAGGGAGCCCAGAGAGTTGGATTATAGTCTTGTCTGTACAACTAAGATGTCAATTGACCCTGGCCAAGTTGATTCATCTCTAAGCCAGAATATCACTGTTTCTGCTTAAGAGCTCAAGAATAAAAAGTTCCCCTTAACACCAGAATCTTTTCACAAGGTATTTAGTAGTCATTACATTTTAAATAAAAATATCACACAATTTGGTGAAATAAAAATAATATGCATTGTCGTACTTGTTTGAGCTTTGGTTGTGAGAATGATTAATTCATACATAACAAAAATACAGAGTGGCAATTAATAAATGGCTATTTGTGGAATTCTTTAAGTGTGTCCTCACAGGCTTTTATTGACATACATTTCAATGTCTCTGTAAGGAAGAAGAACATAAATTATTTGACTTCATTTTTTCCACATTATTTCTCTCCTCTCTATCCTTTTACCCTCTTAGCATCCTTTGAAAAGAAAAAGTGGTCATTAGAAGACTGTGAAGAGTCATAAATATAATAAAATGATTACTGTGGTTTTCCAATTTATGGATGGGATGCTGTCATGGGTTTCAAGCTCTCTAATTCTGTGCTAGAATCTTAACTTTTCCTTTTATTCCCAGGGCTTCTACCAGCGTGTGCTCCAAGGAACCTTGACACTTACTGTTCCTCATCAGTACACTCAGACAGTCTCACACAACCTCATTCCCTGACTTTTTCACAACTGACAACATCTGACTATGCTTTCCTCTGCTGCAACCTAAACTTACCATTTCTCCCTGTGGAGAGAGTACTCAGTCCACATGTCAGCTCCTCTGAGAACCCTATCTGTATTTTCCCAAATAGCTCTCTTGCTAGAAACCTTCCACTGTTCAAAAATAACTATTATCTTGTGAAACATGTAATTACTAATTATATTCTTCTCTAATTTTTGATTAAACATCTTTTGTTCGTTGATTTCATGATATTTCATGAGTTAAGTAAGGCAAGTTGACTTGTTTTGTTTGTACACTTTGGGTGAAGCTGGGAGCAGAGTTTAGAAAGAGCAGACAGACTGGATCTATGACTAAAACCAAAGT